TGGCCCTTCACGAAGGGTTACATTTTCCACTTTTTATTGAGAGGTGTTGATTCAACTTTACGGTATTTTGGAGGATGTAGTTTGTGGTGTTGAACTGTATTACATTGTTATACTGACAGGTTAGGTGTGTCTATTGTTTAGCATACTTTCATTTATATAAATGGGTTGTCAGTGCAACGCAATACAGAGTGTAAGTTGGACGTACTGCCACCGGATGGCACTGTTTTATCCCTCCCCACAGACTGTGCAGATAGTGTGTTTTACTCTGACTGCAAATGTTTGGCCAGTTTTATCATTAAAACTTGCAGGTGTAGTTTTGTTACTAATATTATGTATTGTTTGCGGTGTCTATTCTGTTATTAGAATCATCTAAATAAAAATGTAATCATTTTCAAACTGCACACCTGGTAATTGTAACAAGATTTTGCATATCCATGAGGCTCGGATGCAATATCATTTACAGCTTTGTTCTCAACATACTGATCTCCCTCTCATAGACAGGCTGTACAGTAGCTTGAGTCCTAGCTCAGCTGTAATGTGCTCTGTTCTGCCCCTGCCAGGCCTTCCTGCCTCTGTTGAAGCAAGCTGCGTCCAGAGGAGGAGCAGGTGGCACAGGGAGCATGGGCATCCAGAGGGCAGCAGTCATCAACGTGACCTCTCTGCTGGGCTCTGTGGAGCTCAACTGGGGGGAACGGGCCAACAACTTCAAATGGTACCCCTACAGGACATCCAAGGTACTGCTGCCATGAGACCAATACACAAATACATTTGCTCAGTACCTGTTAATTAAAAAGGCTGTTAAAGCGTATATGCTAGGTTAACTCTGCTTTGGTATGACTACAGAATGGGAGCTTCGGCTGTTTCTGGTTGGGTCATCTATTTGTGAAGAAAGCCTGGAGTGCTCTTCTGATTAAATTGGCAACAAATGATTTTAGGAAAAATGTGAAATATCAGCTGCACCTTCTGGAAGTGAGTCGGGTTTTGCGTTGTGTTGCCTAGTAACTTGTTTCTGCTTGCCTTCTCAGAGTGCCCTAAACATGGTGAGTCGCTCTATGGCTGTAGACCTGGAGCCTCATGGGATTCTCTGTATGGCTATACACCCTGGCTGGGTCCGCACTGACATGGGAGGGTCGCAGGTAAGGGCCAACTCTGTCACAGTGTCTTCGGGATGGCAGCCAATAATAATTCCCTTCACAGCATGCCATTCCCTCTTTGTGTCCTTGCACCCGCGTACAAGGACAGTCGACACCGTTGAGACTAAAAGATTTTTGTTAATCAGATGTTGTCTAAGAGAACTTTTCCCTACATACCGCTGCCTACATTTAAACACACCTGCAGCTTGGGAGTGGCCTTGCGTGGCAATGGGGCCACATTCTGGTTGTTGTAGGTTTTCTGACTTCTGAGCAAAAGGGAATACCACAGCCCCTTTCCTCTATTTCTCTGGTCATGTAGCACCCGTTTTAAATATGTTTGATCTTTCTACTGCATAGACAGCCCAGTTTTATGAGAAGACCATCTTTCCAGGAAATAACGATCTGTGACTAAAGCATACCAAACACTGAGAACATGGAATCTCCTCATTTAGTGAGAAAGAACCTACAGGATCTATTGATTAAAATAGATCAGCTGTAACACTGTGTTGTGTGGTAAAATTGTCTTTTTCCGTTGAGGAGCTGGTGCACATTTTATATTTACTTCACATGTTAGTGTCCTGAGTGATATTTGGATTATTGTATTCAAATTTCTAAGAAGTGTGTCTGAATACATTTTCTGTCTCTTTCCAGGCTCCACTGAGTCCAGAGGAGAGCGTTTCTTCCGTCTTGTCTGTGATTGGTGGACTGACTGAAAAGGATAATGGGTCATTTCTGAACTTTACAGGAGAGGTGTTGCCTTGGTGATCCTTTTCATCAAAGTAATGAGTAGGATGATTATTATTATTATTAATAATAGATCCTAATGGCTGTTTATTCAGTTCGGAATAACTTCAGCTATGCAAAAGTGTTACAAACAGTGAGTGTTAATAATCTTAATGGAGCTCTATATATATATATATATA